TAAGAATACCTTTTCCAGCTTTTGTCGTTCCGCTACCTTAACTTTTATCTTTACATTTTTCAATTTAATTTAATACAAACAATGGCATGTTTTTTTTTCTCGATTCTTCACTGTTTCTAATAATGTGTTGCTCTATGGCTATTTCTTCGGTAATTTTCTGCTATCGTCTTGCTTATCTTCCAAATAATTTTGAGGTTTTAGGAAAGCGATTCAGTTATTGTTCACTTCACTCGATTCGAAGAGTTACCCCAAGATGGCAGGCTCAGAGCTGTATTTTGGGCAAGAAGTCGTTCGAAGCGAGGTAACCTCTTTTTATTTTGCGCTTTAAATAATTACATCAGTCAATGTTTTGTACTCTCTTGAGCTATCAGAATATGCAACTTTTTGCAGAAATAAACTTATTATTTGATTCGGAGTTGAGTTGCCATATTTCGCACCTCATTTAAATCTACGTAGTACTCTCTTTTGAACCTTTCCTACCAAGACTCTCTCGTATTATCCCTCTCTTCTTGCCTTTTTTATCTCAAATAATGTAGAGAATTCGATGCGACATCGACGAATCATTACTGCAGAGTTCCTGGGTACTGTTGTGAAGGCTCAAAGGGCTGTAGAAATTCTTCGTCAAGAGTCGACTATGCTTTCTGATTTCCACATCTCATCGATTCAAACATTATGTGAGTTTTACTATTGTTCAAACCATTGGTGTTTCTCACTCAGATTGTTGAAGATTGCAAACTGGATTGTTCCGGACATGGAAAGTGTAGTGATGCGACAAAACAATGCGAATGTGATAGTTTCTGGATGGTTAACGTTTTTGCTTATCTTATCTCTGGTATGAAGAGTGAAAACTGCGGTGAGTCTCTCTCTGTACAGTTTAATCTGTCCACTCGATCCGATTAAAAAGAAAATTTTTAGCTTGGTCCTCAGTGTATTTTTGGTTGATATCATCAACTATGACAATATTGTGTACAGCGTGTGTTCTGCTACGAAGACGATCAGCAGTATGGAATCGTGTTAGTAAAAGGCGTTTCAGACGACGAAAAAGGTGGGCTATATACCGAATATCTTTTTTCATCCTTGAAAAGAATTTACGGGTTTTTCTTCTGGTTCGAAAAATGGCTTTGCTTATGTGAGAAATCACCCACCAAAATAAACTAGCTAGCAAAGCAATAGCGGATGAAAAGTTGGCCGCAAAATTTCCAAAGAAAAAATAAGAGTGCAACTGTAGTTGCGAACAGTTTTTTGATTC